ATCAGTTTCCAAAAATATCTAATATGTAACTTTATATTTTATAGCCTAACCAATTCTTAATGCCGATATAGGTGCTTATTACTAAAGTATTAGAAACTCATCTGACATGTATTCTTCTGAATTTTCCGAAGCTAATATTGTTACTATTTTCCCCTTTCTATACTCATGCATTACCTGGCAATTCTTTCTTCTGCTGGCGAGTGATGCAACTTTCTCTAACTACGTGCCCTCTAGATGTGCTGAGTTTGTAACTTGTTGAGTATATTGGTCAGCAGTCGTACCAGCTGAGGAATTTTGGGAAATAACATTTCAATGCATCTAAATGGCATCAACTTGCAGAAAATAAACATGTTTAAATGAAACTGGAAAAGAAATGGCTGAGGCTTTTCTTAAATCTGGAAATGATATATTTCCTTATTAACCATTTGAATAAAAATATAATTCCTTTGTTAAGTATTTTGGGGAAGGAGAGTATTAATGTCAACTCCTAAAGTTGTCATGGCAACTGTGATTTTCTTTTCATGTCTACATTATTGGTTTTCTCCTCCCAACCTTTGTTAATTTTTTGAAAAAATATGTTTAGAAAATCTTAGTATTTTCCTGCTCCAGCCATTTGATAAAGGATAGATAAGAGGGAACCTTTTCCCCGAAACCAGAAGTACAAAAATAAGTTCCTGCCTGAAAATGTCATATTTCTGTTTTCAGGGAATAGAACAGTTGAAAAAAGAAGAGAGAAGATGGGCTAAAAAAACAAAATGGATGAACATGAAAGCAGTATTCGGCCATCCGTTCTCTATAGTTTGGCTTAGCCCATTTGCTACTCCAGACCAAGGAAAAGCCGACCCATATCAGTATGTGGTCTAAGAATTCGTGACAACATTTTCACCCAAACAAAACTGCATTTGCGGCACTGTGGCTATTATACATGAATGTTTCAAATGAAAAAAACCTTTTCTTTAAAGAAAAACTGCCTATAAAAGGGCAAGTAACTGCAGAGAAAAGATGAGGGGGAAAAAAGCAGGTCTGTATTCTGCAAACTTTGATAATTCTTCATCTCTGGCTGAAGCGTTTTCTTTTCTTTTTTATTTAATAACTTGACTGGCCTATTTTTTTTCCTATCTGCTTGCTGACACAACTAATGTAAAGGAGAAACTCCTTTCTTTCTGACCTATGCTGACTGAGTAATATTTACACAACCACTGAACAACAGCCAGTGCCAGGAATATCATCTTATATGGGTATTCATGAACTTCTTCATAGTAAAGAATACTTTTATGTTGTGGTATTTTGTATGCATCTGAGTTAAAGCCTCACATAATGTCTGAAGTAATGGAAAAGAAAATATGGCTCAGTTGATAACTTTGCTTAGCTTTTAAGCTTTAAAATATGTTGCCAACACTATTGTATTTTGGAGAGCTACAGAAATACTTTCTTGTGCTGTTTCTTACCATATCTTTCGGGAGAGCAGGATTTGTTGTCACTATTGGTTATATGAATGAAGGTTGTTGTATGTGTGGCTTTGTAATGCCTTATAATTGAAGAGATATGAAAAGTTGATTTAAATGTGTAGAATAGCAAGATAAAGTTTGTATTAATTAAAAAAGGGGAGTGGTTAATGAATAGTGTTCATGTATAGAAGAGGCTTAAAAATCCAGGTCTAGCATTGTCCTTTAATTTTCTTTTTAACATTATCTCCTTTTTATATCTTTAAACATTTGTTCTGCTTTAACTCTATACATATATATTTTATAATCAGAACTGTCATGTGTTAAAAGATCATGCATGCCTTCTTTCATGATTACATGGATGGCAAACTGTATACATAGTAAGAGCTTGGACTAAGTAGAGGGCATTCTGTTTAAAACAAAAATAAGAAGAACAGATTACACCCAAATGAGTGAGTCTGTAACATTTTGAAATATAGGCAGGGATTTCATTGCATATTTTGGATTTAAAAAATTCTGATGGTTGCTATTAGAGTATCTGCAAGAAAAATATAGAAATGCAAATGAGCTATGTTCCCAGATGTATTGTTTAAACTGAATCAAAGCCATGGAGTGGAAAGGAAATAGATTTAAAAGGCCAATAGATTTGTCTCATTTTGAAAATAATGTGAATGCTGCATTTTTTCAATACTGTCAATGCTTCCATATGGGAAACAAATGCAATAAACCTTTTCTGAACACTGCTTCTGTGCCTTTATTTAAAACAAGTTCTTTTAAATTCTATTGTCCTATAGATTGTAGATAGTTGCATAATTAGAGTTTAGAGCTAAATTTATTTGACCAAATAGTACTGTGGCTACACTTTTATAATCTATCATTGTGTGCTCAGCAAGCCAACAGACATTTTTGTAACAAAACTAGTTTCCTGTTTCTACCATTACCTATTGAAATGTGTATTCCAGAAGAATGTATTTTATGGGTTGGTAATCCTTGATCTGTGTTTAAGAGATGTTTTGATAAAAATACTTATAGCAATCATAAGAAAAAGAAATTGATATTTTATCTTTTAGTCTTGGAAGTAAGAGTCACTGAATTCAATGAAACTTATTTTAAGTGATTATATTTAGATCATGATTTTGATTTTTTTTCTGAATGATACTATAGTTACTAGCCTATTATACAAAGAATTTCAGTGATTTATAAAACAAGATATTGCAAAGAGAATATGAAAATATGGTTAGGTGTTACTCTCCATATTAAAAATAATTTACCAGATGTATTCCAGCAGATCAACTGTCCATTGATGAGAGAGTGCTGTTCCAATTTTCATCAGCTCCCTAATTGTGGAATTTCCTCACCATGGAGGCTTGGATCATTTCTATTTTGATGAATTTTTGGGCAGGATATTCCATATTTTCCAAGTTTTAAATATCTTGCTAGATATTAAATATATATGAGGATGGATAGTGCTATTACTGTATTATTTTATGGTGTTTTTTGGTGGATCATAAAAAATTACACTGCAATAAATTTGTCACGGGATACCATTTTGGATTTGATGTAATAAACTGATATGTCTACCTCTGAAAAATGTCAAATAATTATATGTTTGCTTAGCTATTAATGAATAAAATGATTTACATTCAAGTCAAATAAATGACTTTACATTGAATTTGGTTCTTTATTTGTTCCAAACTGAATAGTTTGTTTTATTAAATGACTCATTGATCATTGAGTTCCAAACACAAATTGGACAATACTCTAAATGGCATAGAAATATGCAAATCAGAATTAATATATAAGATTTCAATTTTTTTTAGTATGGTCCATGTAGAACATCATAAACATTTACTTAATGCTGATCGCTATCTAGTCCAAACTGCAGATTTATGACATTGCATAGCACTCATTTTTGAAAGTACGACATTGGGGGTTGCCCAGATAATAACATATTCTCGAATAAATCCCTAAAGTTTTTGGATTTTTAAAATATAATTATAGCCTTTCCATGTTATACAGGGAAATCTCACCTACAGGAAATCATAACATTGGTTCATAAAATCCAAAACATCTCCTATAGGATTAAAGGTGGATCAAAAACATCAAGTTGGTAACTCTGATTGCACATGGGCATCTGGTTTTTTTCTCTAATAAACCTAAAGGAGGAATAGGACGCTTACATCTAAAATGAAATCAGATGAACATTTTGCAGCAGCTTACTGAATTCAATATAAAACTAGCAATGATATACATTGTACTGATTCTCCAATGGTTAATTTCTTCTTTGAATATTTTATTGTCAGTTGAAAACAAATCTATGAAGTTAGTGGTAAATAAACTTCTGAAAATATACTATTTTTCCTATAGTCTCGGATTACCAATACTATTTTCCCAAATTTTGACTTAGCATACATTTTTTTTTATAATTAAAACTGTAATGTCATTTTGCTTGCATTCTGAAATCTTCCAGAGAAGCTATTAATGAGCTGTGGTGGCACAGTGGTTAGAATGCAGTACTGCAGGCTACTGCTGACTGCCAGCTGCCAGCAGTTCAGCAGTTTGAATCTCACTGGCTCAAGGTTGACTCAGCCTTCCATCCTTCCGAGATCGATAAAATGAGGACCCAGATTGTTGGGGGCAATATGCTGACTTTGTAAACCACTTAGAGAGGGATGTAAAGCACCGTGAAGCAGTATATAAATCTAAGTGCTATTGCTATTAATGGAATCAGAATGCTGTTGTTGGAAGGGATCAATAAAAATGCATTTTTTAAAAAACCCCTCTAGCTTGATGTGTTAACTTTAGATCAATGTTTTTCATTTCATTGGGTATTTTAAATGTAAAATGGTACATTAATATATTGCTCTGAAAATAGCTTTTTCCATCTTGATGCCTCTATTCTATAATTTTAGCCTTAGAACACAGGAACCTGCCTTAAAATTAAGACATATGCTCTATCTTAGAAAATACATTTGAAAGATTAGATATGGTTTCCAAAAACTTACACATCTATTAGTATGTGCAAATAAGTTTTACTTATTCAAGTTTCTGAATGTTCAGAGGAGAACATTGGGTTGGCTATATATGCAAGTTTAGACTATACCTATGGATCTTGTCTCTTAAGTTAACTCTAAGAAAAAAAAAGCAGGGAATAAAGTATGCACAACAATATTACCTTTAAGTCCTGGAATGAGACGTATGTAACACTAATCAGAAAATTTCTGAGATGTAGCTAAGAATTCTGGATATATTAGGAAATTCTGGACAGACATTCCGCAGGTCTCAATTTGGCACCTGTTAATCCAAAATATGGTAAACAATATATAATTTTTTCACTATGTGCAGATGAATATTTTCCAATATTTTTCTGATGTGATACTGTTTTTTATTTCCTATTAATGGCTGAAGAACTTTCTAGACTCATAATTTTTCTTTTGAAGGTTTTCTCTATATTCAGAAAAACCTTAAATTATTTAGGCTACTATCCATCAGCGTGTTATAACAGTGTTCCATGTGCCTTTAATGAATAAATGTAAACTGTTTTGTCTTCTGCAGGGTATAGAACGGCTTAAAAAAGAGCAGCCAACCTGGGAAAAAGCCAGCGGCTGGGAAGGGATGAAACTGGCTTTCGGGGGTAATTTTTCACTACGATGGTTCAGTCCCTTTTCAGACCTGAATTGCAAGAAGGCTCCACCAGCTGGGACTGCAACAGTTGCTCCATCAGAGATGGTTGTGCAAGAAGCCTTTGAACCATTTTATGATCCAATGATGGTTGTGGAAGTATTAAGTGATTAATATAAAGTATCTTTCCAACTGTTTGGTTTTTAAACATTTGTGTACTTAAGAGTTAGCTTTAAGGTGCCACTGATGCATGAAGCCATGGAATCTTTCTTCTTCTTGCTAAGGACTTCACTAAGCAAAAAATAATGAAACTACTTTCCTATGCATTTAACTGGTGATGGGTTAACTACTGTATACTTCAAGAATTGTACTTCATTACAGAAAAATTAACCTATCATCTTGTTGGGACAACTTCTAAAAATATGAGGGGTATGTTTTCTCAAGAGTTAATGACTGGTCAAAATCTAAGGTCAGGAATATAATTCTGATCCATAAAATTTCTCCTGAAGTTCAATGTGATCATTTTAAGTGGTCTCGTCTGGAGATATTTATGTGCTCTAAATTACTGTTTGTGCCATAAATGATAATTCTATAGTAATCAGAACTACAAAATTTATACATAATGATTATTTTTCAGCTAATTCATATTGATTACCTCAGAAAAGCTTCGGATGGGGGCAATTATAAGAAATACCTTGGGCAATTGTAGACAAAAGCTAAATTAGGTAATCTTTCATTGTTTTGAAAGAGGTTATTAGATTGTTTATTTACAAATGTCCAAGCAGTCTAATTTTAGCAGTGATTTGTTCATGCAATCCTTAAAACTCTCCATCTGAAGTACAGCTAATTATAAACAGGGATTCTCTTCTACTGTACATAATTGGAAGCTCATGCGTGTATCCCTGAAGGGTGCGCTTGTGTATGATTGAGAAAGAGGACATAGATATTTCCAGCAGTAAGTTGTCTTACTGCAGGGATTTGGTTGATAACAAGATAAGCCTATGAATGAATTCTCTGTACATCTTAAAAACAGACCAATTAACATTAGTGTTTATTGATACAATATGTTCTTAATAAAAGTGCCATGTACAGGGTTGTTGGATATTTCAGGGCTGATTTCATGTCTAGAAACAACAGTGCTGCAAAACACTGTTGTGATTTGGCAATCGCAACAGGATTGTCTCTGGGAAGGGAGACCAATGAGTCTCCATATAAGAGAAGATTATTACAGTTAGGAATATGAAGGCAAATCCCTAAGGGGCTCAATATTTTATTTCAGTATTAGGTGCTCTTTTATAGTCTATATTCTTTTATAATCTATTACAGAAACCTGACTTATGCTGCTTCTCACTTGAGATAGCATTTATGAGCTCTCTTAATTGGCAGAAATGTGATCATGGCTTTTCTGTATTTGTATATTTCTACATGTCCCAAAGTGTTTTTCCAACTAATTTCTTGGGTTTTTTTTCTCTTGAAAGCATTTTGCTTCTTATCCAAGAAGCTTCTTCAGTTCTGACTGAATGATGAGGAATGGAAGGATTTATATTCTTTGCTGTCATCTGGTCGTTCCTTCTTTTCTGCACCATTCAGTTAGAACTGAAGAAGCTTCTTGGATGAGGAAACATTTTCAAGGAAGAAACCAATTAAAATCCAGTTGCCTTTTAGAAAAGCACCTTTGGACAACCGTGGCCTGGATGATTAAAAATCTCCATAGAGATACATTTCTACATGTTAGTTAGATTCCGTTTGTTTTCAGACTCCTGTGTCTCATAGAAAAAAAAAAGGAAATGGCATTTAAAAAGTGAGGGAAGATACATTCTGAGGTTTTACTGGAATAATTTTAAAGGACTCTTCTATACTGAATAAGTGCCTTATTTGGATCCAATCTGTTTAATAATGCTTTATGTTGCCAACTGAAACCAAATGATTTTATACCATATTAAAACTAATCTGCTATTAACCAAAGATTTTTGTTTGGACTCTTTCACTAAATAATGTTGGCATTATGCTTTTGGAGCCTAAGAAGGTCCTTAAGCTAAATAACCAGTTCACCTGGTATCCATTATATAATTACTAGACATATGGCTGCTTACTGCCAGTAACTCTACTGAAGCCAGCTTGCCTTAAAACTCTGCTTTAAATATATATGTATTTGCACAAGCATAATCTTTAGGTTCTGATAATCTAGAACAAGACTGTCAAACTCACCGTGTCACATGACATGACGTATTGCAACTTTTTTTGCATTGCCGGAGCTGGGGTGGGCGTGGTCTCTACATGATGCAACCGGCCTGGGGCTGACAGTTTGACAGCCTGACATGAAAGAAGCAAGTGCTCTTTTGCTTTTAAACTCACCCCTTAGCATGACATTATGCAGCCAGTTAGCCTGTATTTTAAAGTTCAAAACAACTGTATTTTAACAAAAATGCAACTGTTCTGGATGCTAAATAAGCCAAAAGGTGCTATAATTCAATAATTGGATTATTAATTAATAGTGGGCTGGGATTTAGCATGTAGGAAAATATATATTTTGTATTTTCATGAACAGTTTTAGGGCTGCACACTGGCCTGTTCTATGCAGTTAAAGAGTGTAGGCATTTACAAATGTTTCTGTTCTAGCTTTTGCTCTTTTGTATCTTATTTTCTGTATTCCAGGTTAATTGTACTTATTAAAGGATTGTGGCTTTCATCCCATACTTGTCTGCTCATGTTTAGTGCTTGCAGTCCTTTTAAAGTGATCTTTTTGTAAGGCTATTTTAGAACTCAATTACTATCTAAACCTTTCTTTTCCCTTCACATAACCTTATGCTGTCAAAATCCTTGCAGGGACTGGAGGTCAAATGAGATTAAAAATCCATCATATTTAAGCTTTCATTTCTTTCACGTGGACTGTCCACACTTCTGGCTTCTGAAGATTGGTTCTTGGAACAGAAACCCAGATGTTACATTATGTCATGCCTTTATCTTTAGGAATGATGTCTGCATACGGGCTGTGCTGGGCTGCCAGTAAAGCCATCTGATGGTAGTAGTCTGCTGGACTAACCCCTGCATGTGGAGCTAAAGCAGAACATTAAAAGCATGATTTAAGGGCATTAGAAACAGAAATCTGTCTGTGTCTGTCTATGTTTTACTTGACTTCCATTTCGCTTTTAGAAAATAATATCTGGTTATCCATGTCCATGTCTGACAATTCCTGATAAGGAAACCAGCCTCCTTACTGAAAGCATACTGTAATGTACAGTACAAATATCTTTTTTGCAACAGCTGATGCAAACAAGCCTTGCACTATAGAGCAAAGTTAAAATTCAACTCTCTTTCAATAACCAATATATCTATTCAAGCATCTATTGCAGAGAATATTGCATTGTCAGTATTCCAAATTGGTAATAATTTAAAACACATAGATTGAGTAAAATCCACTGAGACATGCAAGTCGATACTTTATTTTTTTAAAAAATATATTTATTTATTTTGGTTTGAAAGCCTGTCACTTGAATTTATATAAAGCACAGGGTCCAAGAAACAGGATACAAGTTATTTAATCTGTATTTAATCTGTATTTTAGATTTCTGAACACTCGTGTCACCTTTGATTTCTAGGGATGAACAAAGTTCTGATAAAAATAGATCTTTATGAAATTTTGCAAAGTAATGGAGATGCCTCATGTCAGAACTTATAGTTATACTTCAAATTAAGTCTGAAGCTGATCAGAAATGGTTATGGTGGTTGCCATAATGCTAGTATAATTTAGTTTTAACATTTTTTAATTCGAAGCTGAAAGTTTTGAAAACAAATGGAGGGAAGGGCAAAATCAAAGTTCTTTGCATAAAGAAAATACCTGTACATTTAAACCCCTTATTATTTTTACTAATGAAAGAAACTGCCTTTCTAGAACTCTTTTCCTATTAAATATACAGGATACCTTCTGCACAGAACTTCCATATATTTTCAGTAACTTTGGTGGTAATTCAGTGGCCAGATTTCATGAATAAAGGATCTGTTTTAATTCCAGTATTCTATATAGTGCTATACTGAACATGTAAGTGGAGATTGTTTTAGATTGGTTATCTGTTTCAAGTTCATTTCATGCTAGACTGAAAAAATCCATTTTCCTCTAGAACAGTGGTTCTCAACCTTCCTAATGCTGTGACCCCTTAATACAGTTCCTCATGTTGTGGTGACCCCCAACCCCCCATCCAGCTGGCCGGGGGGTATCAAAAACTTAACCAAAAAAAAAGGAAAAAAATGGGAAAGTATAGGTAGTCCTCGACTTACAACAATTCGCTTAGTGACTGTTTGAAGTTACAACAGCACTGAAAAAGCGAATTATGATCATTTTTCACACTTATGATTGTTGCAGCATCCCCAGGGTCATGTGATTTACATTCAGATGCTTGACAACTGATTCATACTTATGATATTCAAAGTGTCCCAGAGTCACGTGATCAATGGCCAGGGGGCATGGCCAGCTGATCACTCAGGTTGCAGAGTGCCTGTGGGGGGGAATCTGTGGGTCTCTGGGATGGGACTGGGGTGGGTGCCTGCTTTCCTTCCCTCCCTTCTCTCCCCTTGTCCCTTCCTTCTTTTCTTCCTTTCCTTCACCTCCCTTAGTCTCTTCCGCCTTCCCTCCCTCTTTCCCATTGTCCCTTCCTTCTTTTCTTCCTTTCCTGCACCTCCTTCTTAGTCGCTTCCTCCTTCCTTCCCTCTCTCCCATTGTCTCTTCTTTCCTTCCTTTCCTTCACCTCCCTTAGTCTCTTCCTCCTTCCCTCCCTCTCTCCCACTGACCCTTCCTTCTTTCCTTCCTTTCCTTCACCTCCTTCTTAGTCTCTTCCTCCTTCTCTCCCTCTCCCATTGTCCCTTCCTTCCTTCCTTTCCTTCACCTCCCTTAGTCTCTTCCTCCTTCCCTCCCTCTTTCCCATTGTCCCTTCTTTTCTTCCTTTCCTTCACCTCCTTCTTAGTCTGTTCCTCCTTCCATCCCTCTCTCCCATTGTCGCTTCCTTCTTTCTTTCCTTCCTTTCCTTCACCTCTCTTAGTCTCTTCCTCCCTCCCTCCCTTTGTCCCTTCTTTCCTTCCTTTCCTACACCTCCTTCTTAGTCTCTTCCTCCTTCCTTCCCTCTCTCCCATTGTCCCTTCCTTCTTTCCTTCCTTTCCTTCACCTCCTTCTTGGTCTCTTCTTCCTTTCCTCCCTCTCCCATTTTCCTTTCCTTCTTTCCTTCCTTTCCTTCACCTCCCTCTTAGTCCCTTCCTTCCTTCCTTCCTTCCTTCCTTCCTTCCTTCCTTCCTTCCTTCCTTCCTTCCTTCCTTCCTTCCTTCCTTCCTTCCCTCTTTGTCCCTTCCTTTCTTCCCTCTCTCTCTCATTGTCCCTTACTTCCCTCCCTCTTTGTCCCTTCCTTCCTCCCCCCCCTCCGTGCCCAGGAAGGGACAAGGGGAGGGGGACAGGCTGCCAAAGGCAGAGGAGAGCTCTGCCCAGTTCACTTGCTCAGCTTCACCAAAAAACAAGCCGCTTGCTAAGTTAGCAGAAGCTCCAGGATCAGCGTCGGGCTACAGCTGATTCACGCTTCTGCTAAATTAGCAAGCTAGCAAAGCTCGAGCAAGTTTGCTGGGCAGGAGCCAAGGAGAGCTGCTACAGTTGACCTGCTTCTTGGCTGCTCTGCAAAAGTGTGGATCAGCTGTAGAGATTCGCCCTGATCCTGGACAAGAGGGAAGGAAGGAAGGACGGAAGGGACAAGGGGAGAGAGGAAGGGAAGGAGGGACAAAGAGGGAGGCAAAGGAAAGGAAGGAAGGAAGGAAAGAAGGAAAGAAGGAAGGGACAATGGGAGAGGGAGGGAAGGAGTAAGAGACCAAGAGGGAGGGAAGGAAAGGAAGTTCCAGCCAGGAGAGGCTTGCCAGCCTGGCTGCCGAGAAACAGAAGAGCCAAGGAGAAGAGGTGGTTTCCTCCCAAAGGGGGCTCCTTTTCTCCACCCCTTCCCTGGGTTTGTGGGGAATTTCTTGTCACCAACGCTGACAGGTGCTCCTTTGAGCTTGCCGCGAGCTTTCTCACCCCCTTTGCTTCTTCCCCCCTCCCTTGCTTTCATGAGGATTGTGGCGCCCTTGGGAAGCCGACTGTGCTTTGAAGCTTAGGAGAAGAGGAGAACTCCCTTCCTCCTTCCCTCCCTCTCTCCCTGTCAAGCCCCGGCGGGCTCAACATGAACGGGCAGAGGAGGAGTCGAGGACGGGCGGGGTGGCAAAGGAGACTGGCGGCCATCATCAGACCTCCTGGCTGACAAGCACAAGTTTGGGGGTCGCCAGCTGATGGGCGCAGGAGTTGGGTGCTGCAGCGGCCTCCTCTTCGCTGACCTGCGTGCACGAGAAGTCAATCTGGTTGGTGCACAATGAGTCCCTGGGGAGGGTGGGGCCTTGCTCTATGCCTGCGCTCTTCATGCACCCCCTGCAGGGCACATTTGGTAGAGTTCGTGCAGACTGCCGCCAAGCAGCATATTTTCCACAAACAAGTGAGGTGAAGCAGAGGGGGAGAGGGAGAGAAGGCGGTTGACAAGCCCTGCCTAAGACCATCGGAAATATGTGTTTTCCGATGGCCTTAGGCAATCCCTGTGAAAGGCTCGTGAGACCCCCAAAAGGGCCGCGACCCACAGATTGAGAACCACTGCTCTAGAACTACATTGACCATTTTGCATTCCCTAACCCGAGTGCCACAGTTCTGTCAGTCCTATTTTAAACAAACAATTGCATGTATTAGTAGGCATTTAAACATTTAATTCCAAACAGGATTTAGCAATTCACACCTGATATATTAACACAACAGGATTTTCTGAAAATATTCTAGGATGTTGTTTTTTTATGCAGCATTCTTTCTTGATTCATTTCAAGTGATGTAATTATGGAAGCAGTAAGTATTTTGGATAACTTAAAAGTATTAAAACAAATCAGAATTGCCAGAAGAAAATCAAAAAGATAATAAATATTTGAAAGAACAATAGAATGGATGCAAATCTGGTCATATTGGTAGCAGATCAACTGAATTGATGAAACTTAATCATAGCTAGTATATAGAATGCTATACATACAAATGGATGTATGTATACAGGTAGTCCTCGACTTAACAACAGTTCATTTAATGACCATTCAAAGCTTTAACGTCACTGAAAAGAGTGACCTGTGACCATTTTTCACACGATCTTTGTAGCATCCCCATGATCATGTGATCGAAAATTCAGATGCTTGGCAACTGTCTCATGACTGTTGCTGGGTCCCAAGGTCCTGTGATCCCCTTTTGCAACCTTTTGACAAGCAAAATTAATGGGGAAGCCAGATTCACTTAACGATCCCCTTACTAATTTATTAACTGCTGTGATTCACTTAACAGCTGTGACAAGAAAAGTGATAAAAAGTCTCAAAACTCAGTTAACAAATGTCTCACTTAAAGAAATTTGGGCTCAATTGTGGTCGTAACTATAAAGCTAGCTTCAAGGATTTCATGAACTCCAGATTTTCATAGCATACCGTAATCATAAGGAACTGCTTCAGGAACATGGACAAAGAACATTATATTGCTGATACTATTCTTTCCAATTTTATTCTAAGAGATCTCGTTGGAGTTTGTTGGCTCTTGTCTGACATTGATGAATTTAGCTATTACCCTAACAGGAATATAGGGAGTTTTCTTTAGAAAAATAAAGTGGCCCCTGTTTTGTATTTAAGGTAACTTTGTTTTTCCATGGTAGCTTAATTTTTCTCAGGCATCAAAATGTATTTGTATGATCAATTTTAAGAGAAGTACCATAGGATTATTGTCTCTTGCTCTTTAGCAAATAACTGAAATGAAAAGAAGCAATCATAATGGCAGGGCCAAACTCTTTACAATAGTAAGAAAATAAACTATTATTTCTTATTCTGTTTTCTTTGGGGACACTGAACTTCTGAAGATTATGTAGCAGTTTCACTTAACAAGTCTTTTAAAAGACTAAAAGTGTAAAAGTGCTAACGAGATATAATATGAACCTGGACCTAATTTATAACTGGCTATTTCTTCTTGAATTGGTGAATGCAAGAGGGGAATGCTAGCTAATCTGTTTATATTATATGTATGATTTACCTATATAATTAGAATAGCACCACTAAATTGTGCATCTGAAAAAGATTGGGTGGAAGTCCTCACATACACACATACAAAACCCTCCTCATATTTAAATTTTTGAACAAGATTCTACACAGATGTAAAATTCATATTAAGATGCACAAAGATGCTGCTGAAAGAAAAGTGTAGGTAGCTGTATTGTTTCTTTTACTTTTCCATCCTCTTAATAATTGCACCTTTATGTATCCTTTCTCTTGGATGGTGAAGGGAAGGTTTACCATAAACATACATACAGTACAGCATGCCTGTACAATCATAGTATCTACTGCATTGAAGTCATTCAGTGTCAATTCTTAGCTAAAGTAATGTCATCTATACATTAAGACAAGTTATCAGCATGGTTGGCAAAGTGAGGGATTTATGGAAATGTAGGAAGAAAAATGAATTAATGAATGAAAATCTAAATGAGAGATTTTCAAAAACAGGTTATTGAGAACTGAATGGATGGATGAAGTAGCTTGAAGATGTAGTTAGAATTTTGAAATTCTGTTATACATTCCACTTAGAGCAGTGGTTCTCAAATAGTGGGGCGGGCCCCCCAGGGGGGGGTGCGAGGCTCCGTAAAGGGGGGCTCGTTTGACCTCGGCAAATACTGTCATATTGGACGCACGTGACACACGCAAAGGACCCGATTGGATAGACAGTCACGCGGGGGGGGGGGGCGCGAAATGTTTTCTTCTTCCTAGGGGGGCATGACAGAAAATAATTGAGAACCACTGACTTAGAGTGATACAGTAGGTTCTCTTCTTCCTCCTCTCCTCCCAAAAGCTTCTGAAAAAGTTAAAATTTGCAACATGAATAATAGTGAAAAGTAAAAGAGAATTGTGAAAGTAGGAAAGAAAATCAACTATTTGGTAGTGTCAAGGTTTATCTTCAATAGTTCTCTAATGCTATATGAATTTTTAACCAACATTTTAAGCCATGTTTTTACTAGAAAATTTCTTTAGCAATGTACTGCTGTAAGTTATGGTTCTGGTACATAAAAGTGCTATACACTGATATAGGTATAGTATTGAAAATACATAAATAGGAATTGAGATGAGTTTAATTACAATATTGACTACATACAACCATTCATTTAGTGATATCTGAAGTTACAATAGCACTGAAGAAAGTGACTTGTGACCATTTTTCACACTTAATGGCTATTGAAGCATTCCCACAGTCATGTGACCAAATTTCGGATGCTCAGCAACTGGCATGTATTTATGACGATTGCAATGTCCCAGGGGGGTCATGTGATCACTTTTTGCGACCTTCTGACAAGCAAAGTCAATGGGGAAGCCAGATTCACTTAACAACCGTGTTGCTAATTTAATAACTGCAGTGATTCACTTAACAATTGTGACTAGAAAAGTTACAAAATGGGACAAAACTCACATAACTGTCTTGCTTAGCAACAGAGATTTTGGGTTCAGTTGTGACTGTTAAGTTGAGGAGTACCTATACTGTAAATTAATGTGTGTCAGGAAGACCTAATTACTTGATTGTTGGCAAAAGCTAGCTCTATACATAAAAGTTGCCGTACTTAGCTAACTACATAGCTAACTATCCAGTTGCCAAGTGCTTGAATTTTGATTATGTGACAATGAGGATACTGCAATGGTTGTAAGTGTGAAAAATGGTCATAAGCCACTTTTTTCAGTGCCATTGTAACTTTGAATGGTGACTAAACAAATGGTTATAAGTTGAGGTCTGCCTGCACTGAAATCCTGTTTTGTGGGGATAGTGTTGTCTTTGTTGGCACATGTAATCTCTGAAGCAGGATTATTAATACAACACTTTTTTCTGAATGAACTGCAAATAAGGCTGAAATAGTCCTCAATTCCTCCAATCTCTTGGCTAAAACTGATATGAAATTTAATTGAAGACTTCTAATTGATTTAAAACCTTTTCACATCCTTAGGGGGGAAAAACGTGAATGTCCATACAGACTACTCAGGTTGGTTTTAGGGAGTAAAGGGGACTACTCTGAGAACTTGGAAAGAACATACAAATGTGGGAATCTTCTCAAACTTGAAAATACCTTCCCCACAAGGAATTGTATGAAGTTTATTTTTTAAAAAAAGAATTACAGAACACAAATTTTCCAGTCACATAGTCATTCTGTCTGTCTCACACTGCTTCTACCTATTTTATTAGAACTGTGGCAAAATTGATAAAAAAGCCCATTTCACTACCTGTTGTAATATTTTAATTCAGTTATATGTATATGTATTTTCCTTTCTGAAGGTTGTGCAATGGGGAGGCCATGAAATTTCTGAGACAGTCAGGAAAACTTTCAGAATACCAGAAAACTTTCGAATGTGTCCATCAAACCCATCTAAAATCTTCTGTTTTTGCGTGCATTGTGAAAATGTCTACAATTTACTCTTCCTTTTTTAGGCATGAAGAAATAAATGGTTCTGCCCAGATGATATAGACATTCCCAAATTTCCCAATAAGGACTGATCAGTTGCAAGGACATCAATATACAGATTTTAAAAATTATTACAAAACGAGTAACAAAAGGAATAGCAGAAGAAGAATTGATTGAGAAAACATGTTTTTATTGAATAGGAACTATTAATTCATAACTAGAAGTGGTAGAGAAAGTACAGTATATGGAGATATACTTTGAACTAGGAGACATAATTTACTTTTGGTGATATAAACACTTAAAGAATTTTTAGGAACTAATTTGTGCTTCATAGTTAATCATGTTCATAGAGTATACGTGTGTAGAAAAGAATATTGGAATCTGTATTAGTTACATTAGTCATGGAAAGTAAACTTGAAGCCAGTCTAATATATCCAATACTACTTAACATATTATAAATGAAAGAACATAAAATGTATGCAGCTTTGTAACATGTTGCATATTAGCAATTAGACTACAGTGCGGAACAGTTACAAATTATAAAATGAGAAAAGAAGGCATAAATATTGCCAGCATCACACAAAGGAAGACAAAGATAATTCCTTCAGATTCCAGATTTCACATATTTAGTGGTTATAAATTGTCAGAATTCTGCAAACATAAAAGCATATTTCAATAACCTATTAAATCTTCATTAGATAAAATCAAAATAATAATCTCCTGAAACTACTTAAATTCTTTTATAATCTTTTCAGCCACAATCAAGGCTGCAAGCAAAATCTAGAGACTTGAATTATAACATGTATCTCTAGTGCCACCAAGTGATGATCTTTGAGAATACCGTCATCACTATTCAATGATGGAAATAATCTTTTCCGCGGTTATTTCTTTTAGCTGGGTAGAATTCAGTTTGGCCACTATCTTCTTCAGTCCACTCTTCTTTGGAGCACACACTATTTTGGATTTAAAGATTTTACCAGGTTCTATGTCCCTGAGAGAGAAAAGATAAAATGTACGTGTGTATATATATATATATATTTGTTTTCTGAGGTTTTCGCGGGTATTTGTATATAGGTCTTTGGTTGTTCGGGTTTTCTCCTGCCCTTATTGACAAACGACTCCCTAACCCCAAAATCTTAAACCCCTCTGCAACTCAGACTAACCTGAGCACAACCAAACAGAACACTCCCCCAGCCAATCAGAGCACAGCCAAGCCCCTAACCATTCAGAACACACCTCCACCCAATCAGAACACAGCCAAGCTCCCATCCAATCAGTTCATACCCTCACTGGCAGTTAAAAGGAAGAAACAGCTAAAACCACACATTGCTGCTCAAAGCAAGAAGCTAAAAACACCAGCCTGAAGATGACGAATGTGACTTCGTCGAAACGTTGCCAAGACACTTCCAATTTTACGCGGGAGAAAACCCGAACAACCAAAGACCTATATATATATATATATATATATATATATATATATATATATATATATATATATATATATATATATATATATATGTATGTATATATATAATTAGTTTGAAAAATCTTTTGAGGATAGAACTTCTAACTAAAATCTGCATGCAACAGATCATTTTGCCATAATCTATAAGTAGAATTGTAGCTGAACACCACTTATTTGCTATGTATATCCTCTTCTAAACAATAGGCACAAAAGCTCTACATCAGTGGTTCTCAACCTGTGGGTCGGGACCCCATTTGGGGTCGAACGACCATTTCACGAGGGTCGCCAAACAACGCAGTCCGCCATTTTCCCCCCCTTTTCCTTAGCTGTGCTACTCCCTTTTATTCTATTGGCTTTTGAAAGCCAATAGAATAGACTCTCTTGAATAGTCTAATTCTATTGGCTTTCAAAAGCCAATAGAAATTGTCCAGGCTGTCTCTGCCCTGCTGAGCCCACCAAAAGTCCCATTCTGCAAACGGTGCTGCACCAGTTGAGTAGTCCTCGACTTACGACTGGTTGAGTAATCCTTGACTTACGACCGGTTGGGGGTCGCAGCATTAAAAAGGTTGAGAACCACTGCTCCACATGATGCTTACTTATGTTCTTAGGTATGTAGAGCAGGAATGCTGCACCCATCTGCAACGTTCCTATTCCATGTTCTAAGCCTGTCCTCTTAATTTAATGTCATCCTCAATGACAATTTTAAGAAAAAGACATAAAGCAGCCACAGAATCTCAAAGGAAAAATTATGGCTGCTTTAAAAAGTTGCAGACAAAAATGCCACCATAGACTCCAAAGCCCCTATTGGAATTTGCATTATTATCCTATGATTCATAGGGGGCCCATACTTCAGAATAAGCTAAATAAGAGGGTTCTTAGTGCTTTATTAGCAACCTGTGAGCATGTTCAGTTGTTGAACTAGCAGCATTAATCACAACAGCAAGGTGGTTATGGTTACATTTAAATTACCATGGGACCAGTGTACCACATTTTAAAGCAAAGGAAAATAGCATACATTACCATGTACAGAAAGAAGAGATATTCTTAAGATCAGTAAGTCCAGAAAGCTAACTTTGTTTCAATGTCTGACAAGAAAAAACAATTGTGCTTCAGCTACTTTAATCTTACCCTTGATCAAATACTTCCATTATAAAAATGCCCAGGCCTTCTACATACAATTTGCAGTTTTCCAATGGAATGGATAATGTATTCTTGAAAATAAATGCACAGGTAAAATCTTGATTAACCTTTGCAGTGTCTGCCATCTAAAAAGATCAAAGAATCAGTTAATTAAACAGATTCAGCTAAGGAAAATGCAGAAATGTAGAAGACAAATATAATACAAAGATAGTAAAGGGAACATAATAATAGTGGTTTTTTTAATCCACTATATGAAGATGTTTAAGATTGAGTACGGATGGAGAGGAAGTTCTTGCATTAGTAGTTCAGTAGGCTACACTAACTGATTAAACTTAGTATCACCCAAAGTTTGCACTGAGGTCTATATTCAAACTCAGAAGCATTTTCTCTGAATCTAATTCATTAGGATGTAGGAAACTGACTTAATTCTATCCTCATCAATATTCTTTTGTCTGTTTGCAACCTTCAATTAGCTGAAATGGTGGTATCAAACAACAACCCTTTTTGAATCAAGGTACCTCAAATCCAGTAACTTAAAGAATATATAGAAAATCCACGACCCATTATTCCGGGTAACTGAAATTTTAAGATATTCTCACCAGTTGTATTCACAAATTTGCATCCATTGCAGGGCTGCTGCACTCAGCTATAATCACAATTGCAATTTTTAATGCTTTCTGTCAGTTTTCAGCAGGCAAAGTCAAAAGGGAAGCTAGCAGAAAGTCACTCCCACTCCCACTGTTTTTTTGCCCATCAATAGTTATCTTGTTTCTCTCTTTAAATAACTAAATATTGACCAAAGAAGACTCAGTGGGTCATATGTTGTCTAATGTATTCTAAATACCAATCACCACCACACCTTGTCTTTGAATAGCTGGTTTTTTTTTTTGTTGTTGTCACAGAAGCTAATCTCAAAGTAAGGAGGATCAAATCTGGTTCATGCCTGAGACAAATGGGAAATTCCATAGTAGATTGTAGATTATACCATGAAATCAAAAATCATGCAGAAGAAGGCAAGAAAATAAGCATTTTCAGATGTATTGCAAAGAAAACATTATACTGTAAATTTATCAGTGATCTTTGAAGATTTTATTTAATTTCTTACTTCGATTTTGAGAGGTGGGTGCTCAAAATTTAGAATAATCTGCTTTGTGAATTTTTCATTGGTTTCTTGAACTTCAGCAATAACATTGACTTTGATCAGAAGTTCATCTTCAGTAGACATAATTGTTTGCATGTAAGTATCAGCTGATATTTTCCAAGGTATTTGAATAACTGCAACAACACAGAAAAGAGACAGCTAGAGAAAGACAAGTTCACAGAATAGAAGACGTACTCATTTATTTGAATAATTTTGTTGCTTTTTAAACAGATATTGCCTTCTGTTTTTGAAATGGAAATACCAAGAAAGCTGCAAAGAGGAAGGCAATGAAGACACAGCTCCTCTATTTTCTATGTTCATATAGAAAACACTACAAATAAAAAGTCTAGGTGAAGGTGAGAAAGAAAAATATTGTTTATAACAAAAACACTAGTTCTTGATGCACATACACACACACACACACACACACAAACACACACACACCTGGTTTGCCTTCAGTCTGGACCATCTGCTTGATTGTTGAAAGGTCTGCATACACTTTCCCAGTGTAAGATTCAAGCTGGCAAGAAGCAGAAAGGCAGCCACTCCAACTCCCCACAGATTCATTCTCTACAATGAGGTTCAGGTCAACTGGCTGTCCAGGCCACAAAGTATATTTTTTTTCTACCCCAAGTTTCAGGTTTGTCTTCAGCGGGTTAGATATAGATTCATGGCTTGGAAGTTTTGAAAGGTAGGAACAAGCAGTTTCCACAGCTTTTCTTTCTTCGGGAGTATCTTAAAAACAGAACAAAAAGAACAACCAATCCCAAGAACAAGAGAAAAAAAAAAATCAGTTCATCAGAAATCATTTCCACTGTCAATTATAAATATCAGATAAGTCTGTATCTAAGAGTTTATTAACATTTAGAATTTAAGACTAAGAGCTCTCCCATGCATGAATAGTTAGCAATGAAAAGGTTGTTCCTTATTGATTTGCTTTTCTGACAATTATGGCTGAATGATTTTTAAAACACAAGTTTGTTTTAATCATATATTTACAGCTTAAGTCAGTGTTTCTCAACCTTGATAATTTTAAGGCATGTGGATTTTAACTCCCAGAATTCCACAGCCAGCAATGCTGGCTGTGGAATTCTGGGAGTTGAAGTTGACATGCCTTAAAATTGTCAAGGTTGAGAAACACTGGCTTAAGTGCACACTTCAAAATATGAAGTGGGTACCATTAATAAACTAGGTGAAAAAATAAATTCCCCTGTTGATAGAAAAGATCAAATACATCAGTGGGTTACCTTCCAGAAATTTGTATTGGATAGTGATGTCTTCACGGATGTTCTTCCCAACAGCTTTAGTGCTGATTTTTTTCCCTATTGCCTTATTTTCTTCCCACAGCTTGACACAGTCTTTTGTGCTCTTCTCGTTCTTTACACACCAAAAGATCTTGTCTGCATTCACTGCTGCAAACACAAACTTAGAATCATAGGGAAGGTAGACTTCTCCATTTCTGATGGCCTTGACTGGGCTTGGGCCACACTGGAAAATTCCTACAGAGAAGAATGGTGAATAATTACTTTATTAGTAAACCCAACAAATGGCATTTCTGTGTCCATCCAGAATTTCATGGCAAGCATGCAAATAGGCAGCATTAAGTAAGCTACAATTTTGTAAAGTAACCAGGTCTTTATAACCAGGAATTTTGTTGTATTTATGAAAATGCTGGAATAAACAATTATCAAAGAACTTCTGATGATGACAAGCAGTATACCAATGTGCACTGTAGAAAAACATTATGTTTTCACATCACATAGATTTTTCTTTGGCAATTGTTATCCGAAACATGATAGCACTATAGAATATTCCCTTGAACCAATTCAGTTTTATGAATTGCTTTATTGAGATCTAAGAATAATATTCTTTTTTCGCATCACATCTGTTACATTACATTCTTGAATTTGGTTTCAAAGTTGCCATTCCAACTCTTTCTAATCTGAAAAAAGAAAGAATGGATAATTAATCCACATTTAGTTTGTATATTCCATTCTGGTTGCAATTCCAAGCCTGGTAGGTGGTTTCGGGAATATTATTCTGTCTCTACAGAAGTTACATAGCACAAAAGTTAATAAAAGACCAAGAAAAAAATTCTCAAAATCTTGCTGAACATGCTGGATAAACTGAGGCCCACCTGAGTTTAGCCTATTGTTCTTTGTCTCTTTTAACACTAAATGTGGAAAAGATCTGATGGGAACACAAGGAGAAAAAGACAAAAATCTTCAGGCTGATGCTAAACTGTAACTCACAGCAGTCCAAGTCAGTATGAACAATTTTCAGATGCCTCACATTTTCCATCCATCAGATCTAAAGTTACATTTCTGAATAACATTTTTTTTTCATAGGGACCAAATCACTTGGTTTTGTCTCATCCATTATTTCCTGCACAATCCTTCCATAGTTTCACTTCACTATCCCTGGTTATCCATAAAACTAACGTTAATAGCACATTCCATGCATATACCGTAAGTAAAATATGCACAATTTATCCATAGTATAATATATGCATGCATGTGGCATAAAGTATACAAGATGAATTGTGAGAGGACAAACTTTATAGATTTTAAATATAACCAAATGTTAATCTTTCATTAGCTTGTGCAAATATCAGATGTCCTACCTTCGCTCCTTTGCTGAGGTGTGGCATCAATTGCCTGCCAACCATCAAAGCCACTGGGCAAGTCCACTCTTTTCATCCAGACTTCATTCCATACGTGAAAGTTCCTATAGGTAGATAAGTATTAGAGTTCCAAATAAATTTAGAAAATTATAACCATTTCATTTAATTTGTAAACTGCAGAGAATGTCGATAGGCCTTACATTCTCAACTCTTGCTTAGAACAGCTTTCCCCCCAACTGATATCCTCCAGGTACATTGGAAGTTATATGAGGTTTATAGCCCATCCTTTTAGTACTGTCCATGGGGTTTTCATGGCAAAGATACTGGAGTGGTTTGCCATTTCCTTCTCCAGTGGATCACATTTTGGAACATTTTGGAACTAGAGATCAAATTGCCAACATACGCTGGATCATGGAGAAAGCTAGAGAGTTCCAGAAAAACATCTACTTCTGCTTCATTGACTATGCAAAAGCCTTTGATTGTGTGGATCACAACAAATTGTGGCAAGTTCTTAAAGAGATGGGAGTACCAGACCATCTCATTTGTCTCTTGAGAAACCTATATGCGGGTCAAGAAGCAACAGTGAGAACCGAACACGGAACCACTGATTGGTTCAAAATTGGAAAAGGAGTCCGGCAAGGCTGTATACTGTCGCCCTGCCTATTTAACTTATATGCAGAGCACATCATGAGAAAGGCAGAGCTAGATGAATCAAAAGTTGGAATTAAGATTGCCGGGAGAAATATCAACAACCTAAGATATGCAGATGATACCACTCTAATGGCAGAAAGTGAAGAGGAACTAAAGAGCCTCTTGATGCGGGTGAAGAAGGAGAGTGCAAAAGTTGGCTTGAAACTCAACATTAAGAAAACCAAAATCATGGCATCCGGCCCTCTCAATTCCTGGCAAATAGATGGGGAAGAAATGGAGGTAGTGACAGATTTTATTTTTCTGGGCTCCAAGATCACCTCAGATGGGGACTGCAGCCAAGAAATTAAAAGACGCTTGCTCCTGGGGAGAAAAACTATGGCAAATCTAGACAGCATACTAAAAAGCAGAGACATCACGCTGCCAACAAAAGTGCGTATAGTCCAGGCCATGGTTTTCCCAGTTGCAATGTATGGCTGTGAAAGTTAGACCATAAGAAAGGCTGAGTGCAAAAGAATTGAGGCGTTTGAATTATGGTGCTGGAGAAGACTCCTGCGTGTCCCTGCAAGGCGTTCAAACCGGTCAGTCCTAGAAGAGATCAACCCTGACTGCTCTTTAGAAGGCCAGATCCTGAAGTTGAAACTGAAATACTTTGGCCACCTAATAAGAAGGAAGGACTCACTGGAAAAGGGCCTAATGCTGGGAAAGATTGAGGGCAATAGAAGAAGGGGACGACAGAGAATGAAATGGCTAGATGGAGTCACTGAAGCAGTAGATGTGAACTTAAATGGACTCCAGAAGATGGTAGAGGACAGGAAGACCTGGAGGAACGTTGTCCATGGGGTCGCGATGGGTCGGACACGACTTCGCAATTAACAACAACATAGCCCATCCTGGTGAAAATTACAACCCAGCACATATGGACAGCCTTGGATTATATTAGATCTTTCTCTAGTCTAATACCAAAATGGTTTTGAATACTTTGAATGAACCTTTTGTGTAACAAATTATAGGCTTTTCTAAGAGGCCCTTTGAAAGGCTTCAAAGCCTTTTGAAAGAGGATGATGGACTTCTTCAAAACCTGCAGGAGCAACTGTGCACCATAGTGTCAAGGAAACTGAAAAAAGCATGAAGAGGGTTCTTCTGCTCTGACTAATGAGATGGGGGAAGGCCCAGGTCTAGTCATTCGAGTTCTGCCTCTTAAGATGCTGCTTTCCTGCTTCTCTGTTTTTTGAAACAGTAGGATTTTTAAAAAAGTTTTTTATGTAGTAACAGGACACAAGGAAGCTATGTTCAGAGTACATTTCTTATATACAAGAAGGCAGCAAAGGTTATTCTAACTGTTCATTCAGCTTTTAGAACAGGGCTTTTCAATCGGTGTTATACATACCTCCGTTGGTATATTGGCACCTGGCAGATGGTACATGACCCTGCCTAGCCTAGACAAGTGTAGCGGGGGGAGGGAACGAGCTAGAGCGTTGCAGTGCAGGACTGGTCATGAGAGAGTCCTCGGGAGCTGCAGGGTTGCTGGGGTAAGACACTCGGAAGAGAAAGGAGGAGGAGGGGGGCGGAGACAGGAGAGGATATAAAAGGAGGCAGTTTTGGGAAAAAAAGACACAAGAGAAAGAGTCAGAAGAGAAAAGGCTTTTGTCAGAGAAGTGGTGAGGAGAAAGAAAGAGAGGAAAGGCTTTTTGGGAGAAGTATGTGAGAGTGTGATAAGTGGGTGTACTTTATCACTTTTTTCCATTTTTTTTTTGATCGTCAAGTTTTTGACATCTTGCTAAGCCACTGGTGGTACTCATGTCCTAAAGGTGGTACAATCTGTGAAAGGGTTGGAAAGCCCTGTTCTAGAACATAAGAAAGTCTCCAGACCTTCATGAATAGCATTTTAGGAAACATAAAAAGAATAACAGATTTTTTTTTTAAAAAGTAGCAATTTTAGATCTGACAACATTAATTGCCTAAAATTAACAGAATAAGAGAACAGAGTTGGAAAGGACTTTGGAGGTCCTCCTAGTCCAACTCCCTGCTCAAACAGGAAACCCTATACCATTTCAGACAAATGGTTGTCCAGTCTTTTCTTAAAAGCCTCCAGTGTTAGAACACCTACAATTTCTGGAGGCAAGTGAATCCACTGATTATTTGTTCATGTGAAGAAATTTCTGATTAGTTCTAGGTTGGTTTTTTCCTTGATTAGTTTCCATCCATTGCTTCTTCTCCCGCCTTCAGGTGCTTGGGAGAATAGCCTGACTCCCTCTTCTTTGTGGCAGCCTCTTAGATATTGGAACACTGCTATTGTATTACTCCTAGTCCTCCCCCCCCATTAAATTAGACATATCCAATTTCTGCAACTGTTCTTTGTATGTTTTAGCCTCCAGTCCCCTAATCATCTTCATTGCTCTTCTCTGCACTCTTTCTAGAGTCTCAACATAGTTTTTATATCATGGCAACCAAAACTTGATGCAATATTCTAAGTGTGGTCTTACCAAGGCATTATAAAGTGGTATTAATGCTTGATTCTATCCCCCTGTTAATACAGCCTAGGTCTGTGTTGGGTTTTTTGGTAGCTGCAGCATACTGCTGGCTCAAATTTAAATGACTGCCCACTAGGACTTCAGGATCCCTTTCACAGTTACTACTATTGAGACACCACCTATATTATACCTGTGTATATGATTTTTCTTGCCTAAATGTAGAACTTTCTATATAGATATACTTCTTGCTTATATATAGTGCAACTCCTCAGCCTCTTTTATTAGGTCTGTTTCTTTTACACAATTTAAGTCTCTCTAGTTATATATGTCATTCACGGGATTTAGCCCAAGTTTCTGTAATGGCAACAATATCATATCTTCCCTCACGTACTTGGATTTCTAGTTTGCACTATTTATTCCTCTATTTTGTGCATTGGGGTATAGGCATTTGAGCCCTTTTTGACTGACCTTGTCTTTATTTTCTACATAACCTGTTTTGTGTCTGAGTTCTCTTTCAGCCTTACCACCAGTTTGATTAGTGCACATGGTATGTCACATAGTATCACATGTCTGGATCATGTAACCCTGACTAGAGCATGTAGATCTGTATGTTAGAATGTTTGGCATTTATTGGGTTAAGTGCTGTCTCCTTAAGAGATGGCTTATGCGTAATGTAGTATAGCTAGTCAGCAATCCCATGTTAACAGATGTGTAGGAGGAGTCACTGAGCTCTTTACAGGATATCCTGGCCATGTGCCAGTATGGAATGACTTTGTCTGAGATAAGTATGGGACCACCGGAGGACTCAGATGGTCTCATTCCACGTTAGAAGTTGGTATGGAGAAAGTATTAATTTCTTACCTATAAGAATGAACAGATGTTTAATATCCAGAAGCAACAACCATAACTGCAAGTATTTCTGAATAAAATGCCTGTTTTATAATCATTCTTATTGAGTTTATCTGTATGATCTGGATTTACAAGGCATCTTAACTCTGGATCAGAACATCACACTTGATTTTTCTTAACATCAATCTTAATATTCTTAACTGCACAAACATCTATCTTAGAAACACTGAGAACACTATTGGTTTTAAGTTGCTGGGAGCAGAAATGTTCTGTATCAATTAACTCACTGTCCCCATTGTTCAGTTTAAATAATTATCTAGAAAACTCCTGAATTTAGTTCTAAAAAATTCCACCCTTTCTATGATGGATGTAAAGCATCCCTTCATCAGATCTACTGCAAACATCATTACTAATATAACCAAAACCTTCCATTTTACACCATTTCTTTAGCCACGCATTGAATTTCATATACACTGGCCTTTTCCTTTTTGCTCCTTATATATAGATTAAAAACCTCTGAAAAAGTAAGATTACAGCCTATCCTGCTAAGTTCCTGCCCCAAGGTCTGAAAATCTTTCTGCACAGAAAGTATATTCTATTTGTACAGGCCATTAGTGCGAAGATGCACAACAACATCAACATCACTGTCCTTTCTAGCATTCTTGACTATCTTAACAACGTGCCTTTTTTCTCTGTTGGCAGTACCACCAGGCAGACCCTCACCTTTTTCAAGACCTCCTCTTTCTTTCCTAAATTGACACCTCTTATAATTGAACCAACCAAAAGATGGCATTTCTTTTTAGTTACCTTGCTCACTCACATGACTGATTTGCAATACCTGATTCACATCTTCCCTTATCCAAAACAATTTCTTCCTCGCAAATCAAAATTGTTTGCTCAGTTGAGTCATCACCATCATTACAAGTAGTTGAGCCTTATTAAGTTCAGCAAGGGCACTGTATCTATTATGCAAGGACACACCAAACATTTTGTGTTTATAGTCCACAGTTCTCACTCTGCCAATTCCAACAGTTGTCCATACTACCTTCTCTTGCAAGGTCTTTGTGTTAAGGCGGGGCTGATAACAGGATAGTTCAAAAGAACACATTGGCTGAGTTGGCCATATAATTTCAGAGCACAAACTAAAGACTCTAGATAAGCAATATGTCCATGTAAATTGCTTACAAATAAGACAGTATCCAAATTTGAAAAGAGCATCATGAAAGACAGCTGCAAAACAAGTATAGCACTAAACTAAGCCAAATATTCTAAAATAAAATTGTAATCACACAAGCACCCACCAAGGATGCATTACTTATTGCTTTTTTCAAACTACTGATATTTTCTGGTCAGAAGGTCAGTTGCCCTCACAATGATTAATTTCAAAGAGTCAGTGCAAATAAATATTCCTTTATAGCCTTCCTGTTTTAGATTTATAGTTGTATAATTCCTGTGCCATTAATCACGCAGGCTGCTATCTTGCTCTACTGGACCCAGTCTCAGTTGAAATTGATGTGAGCTGGGTAATCATTCACAAGACTATACTGTATATGAAGCAGTAAACTGACTATAATTAGTCCCTGATTTACCTTATATCTGCATAATGAAAAATAATACAGATTTTCCTTTTCCACCTATTTTCTTCATAAATTAGCATTTCAATAAAAAATAATTTCTTAATAATATATATTGATAATTACCAAACTGAATCATTTGTTAATGAATCTATTTTTCTTCCTTTTTCATCCAAATAAATGTCCACTTTAAGGTTTTCCTCTGTATCATGAGCTGAAACAAAATTTGATATACTTCTGCATGGAATCCCCAGACAGCGCATAACTGAAACAAAGATAAATTTGTTAGTGCTCACTTCATGAACTGCTTTATTGTCTTTAGCAACAACCACTGCTTTTTATAATGCAGGATTTTAGTTGTGTATGAATACTATTTTTAAAGGCATGGTTCATTGTACAAAAGACCTAACTATAGTAAAATAGCTATAGTGCTGAGAGGATCTTGATGCTATTTTTATAAGGTCTTTATATGTCAGAAGAAGCTGCTAGATTAGACCAAATTAATTCTATCTCTTAATGAAAGTTAAACCTGAAAAATGCTCAACTGCTTTTCAAAGAAAGTACATTTACTGTATATCCAGCAGTATGGTTTTTCTCTAGAGTAATTTTTCTTCCTTGACTTTATTTTCTGCCAACTCTGATTTAGGTACCTTTGGAAATAACAAGATAGTCCCTCTCTGTGGCACAATCAACCACACTTCTGTCCTGCCCAAAGTTTATCTTCAATCTTATTCTGAAAACTTCTTGAACTTGGCTAAAGATGCATGTGACCTCAACAACAATTTTATGACTATTTTAAGAAAACGACAAATGATTCCAGATCTGGGGTTTTGGAAGACATGCCTCACTATCTGTTTTATTATGTTTTTTAAAAAATATTTGATCTAGAATTTCAAATCATCTCTTAAAGTGAAAATAATTGGGCTAACATTCAGAAAATTTTCTTTCCCCATAATAAAGTAATTTCACTACTGGTGGCAGATTTTGCCCTGTTAAATTATTCCATAGTTTATAGCAGATTAACATGATGATAGGTGTTGTAATTTCAGCAGATGGCAATATTTCACTGATCTCATCTGCATTTGTAAGCTAAGCAGAGTTAGATCTGGGACACTTCTTAGTTGGGAAACTATCAGAGAATGGCAAGTCTGAGAAATTTTACAAAATATTTCATTAGACAATGCAAGCCACATCTGTACTATTGCCAAGAAAACGGCATGTTCTAAGGAGTTTTACTCAAGGGTGTGCTTATTTTTTTTTTACAGATATTATGTATGTTTTCTCTTATGCAATCATTTACTCTTTTCTAATTTATTATACATTTAAAAATGTTACAGTTAAAACCTGTATTGAAATAATAAAATTTGGCTGTCTGGCTGATTAAGGATGAGAAGAATCTGCTGAATCAGAGCAGAGAGTCAATCTGGTCCATCTTTCTAATTCCAAGAATGTGTCTTAGGAACCTACAATCAGATCAAGGAGGCAGAATTCTGAATCCCGTTATCTTTCCTAGAATGTAGATCACTAAACTGATTTATTTTCTTACATAAAAAATAATTAATAAATGTTTTCATAAAAACATGCAGGAAAAGCTTCTGCCTGGAAGAGTTCATCTTACCTGTGGTAACCACTCCAGAGAAAACCCAACACTGACCATATAGGACACTTTTTTGTGTCTTGTAATATTGTTGCAAAATTGGGACACTTCCTGTCCAGGCCAAAGGAGCTGTGCCACCAATATAACGTCCTGACCAGTTTGCAAACAGAATTCCACAATCATCGTCACAATTAACCTAAGAAAGAGTTGTTGAGAATAAAGCACCCATCCCTGGTTTGGTTAATAACATTATGAAATAACATCCTTCTTAAGGCTAGAATGCATACAGCACATGATAGTCTTCACATATGTAAATAGAGGATGTGCTGAAATTGTGAGCTGCATTTTTGAAACCTGAAGGCAAAAAGCATAAGTCTTGTGTGTCTAGTCATTTTTAGTGTCATTAGACCTCCATCCTTCCCCTGTCATACATAATACTGAAATGATGCTGACCTGTGCCTTACCATTTGTCTTCACATTTTAGAAAAAGTTCTTATTATAATATTTTTTTTACAGACAGTTTCCCCTCCATTTGAAGCCTATTTGCTTAGTTTAACAAAGTACATTTCAGAACAGGGTCTTATTGGTAGCAAACAATTGGCTGCATAATGAACTAGAAGACCATTATGCTGTGGTCATGCTGCATGTACATAAAATACAACAGTTTGTGTTGAGAGTAGATAGAAGAAAGAATGCATGGAGAGAAGAAAAAAACTAAAGTTAGGATTAATTTTGGAAGAAAATATTCTTAAGACTGTTGCTTATTTAAAAGAAAATAAGTACAAGCATTGTTTGGGGATGAGCATAGTGACAGGAAATCCAGAGTAACTTACGTTCATTCAGAGCAAAGAGTCTTTAATATGCTCTCCTCCATTATATAGAGAGAACAAGGGCAGATCTGAATTTCCAGTTTTCTCTAGCACAACATAACCCACTCAACATTTCTGGAGGGCAGGAATGAATGATGTCATTTTCAATCCACTTCCAGCAGGCAGGTAATATAAATCCCACCTGTGCTCTCTGGCTATGTGTCAAAAGGAGTATTTTATGCATTGTGAAGGCTCAAGCTAGAATGTTTAGTTTTCATACTGTATTTACTTCCTTGTAAGCAACCTTATAAATTCCTATTGACTACTAAAATGGATGCTTTCTTTGTTCGGGTTCCTCTATTACCATTTTATTAACATGTTTTTAAAGAAATTTAACAAGAAAGGTGAAAAACTGGCCTTTTCTGAGGAAACCATGCAGTGATGGACCTGTCTCCTCCTTCTCCTATTTGAAGGTGAGATTCATGAAAATTTTGCCACTTTCCCCTTCAAGCTCAACTAATAGGAAGAATTTGTAAAACTATACTATTTTCCTTTCTTTATCTTTATGGGTAAGTTTCTCTACTAGGAAAAATATAAAAGCAAAGGAATTCAAGAAACGGGCTGGGGTCAAAGAATCCAGAGCAAATATGAAGCCATCATGGTGGCCAAAGCAAAGAAAATCTAGAAAGAATTTGTCAGGGTGGCTTCATTTTCAGTCAGTTTATACACTGGAATTGAAGGCTGCACAATGGAGAAGACTGAGAGAATTGAAATGACACAGACTGAAAACAAAAGACAAAGAGAGCTGATCTGGGTGTTTAAAGCACTTAAAATAACCAAAGATGGCATATTATATAGAGGCAAGCATAATAAGTATTTTAGATAAGGAAATTAGGTAAAATGCAAAATGCTTTATCTGTTATCTGTAGTAATCAATAAGTATATGTATGTGTAGACAGTCAGTGCAGGCAAAGTTAAAGTCCAACAGTCTGAAAATGTGTATGTATGTGTGTGGTGACATATTTTATATCACCAGAACATGCACAATGGATTTTTGGAAAATCATGGTGTTCTATTATAGGTTTTATATTTTCCCTCTTCAAGTAAATATGCCACCAATTTTTGGCAATTGTGATAGGGCACCAAAAACTATAAAACTGGTATGTTGTGAGTTGCAGATACTTTGGACTTCAACTCTCTGCCCCAGCTAATAGGGCCATAGGGAAGTGAATACAAGAGTTGTAGGCTAAAATATCTGGCAGGCACTAGATTTCACACTTTTAGGCTAAGATTCAGATTGATGGAAAGATTAGTTTTACTGATTTCTCTTTCATGATTAACAACATACAGATTAGCGTAAAGCATTTTTAATGACACACCAAAGCTGACATGACTCTGGAGACGATCACCGGATCCTTTTTAGCACTTGGCTTGAGCTGACTTTTCTCCAGAAGGTACATACAGCAATCCAAAATATCATCTTCAAACTGTTTTGTAATACAAGTCAAAGTATGATTATTTGATGTTCTTCACTGCTGTAAAAATAATTTCTTTTTTTAAAAACATATTTATTTTAATTTGTCAACAAGAATAAAATACAAAACAGAAACATCCAACGCTAACAATGAAAAAAAGGCAAAGAGTGATTATTTGATTTTCTTCACTGTTGGAAAAATAATTTCTTAAAGCAATCAACAGCAACTTCATAAGAGTTTCAAATGTGAAACCTGGTGTGTTGCTACCATTAAAAAGTAGTTGGATTAAATTATTATTATTATTCCACAATGAATAGTACTTTATGATAGAAATACTCATCACTGTAGAAATCATTTTATGGAAACATTGTCACAGTATGTTAAAAAGAGTCTTTCTTAATGTATTACTCATATATTATAGAGATAAAGTTTCCAATAAATCATACTTGACATTTTCTATAAATTATCCTTGACATTTAAAGACACCATAAAGACATTTGTAATTTTATTAGCACTTTAACAATTGTGATCAGATCAAGTAGCTTTTGTGGGAAACACCTATGACAACAGAGAAGTGCAATTTAAGAAATGTTTCACGAGAGTGAGAAAAAAAAAGTTTTTTTTCTCCACTTCCTGTAGCGTACTCCACTTTAATATATATTCTTGACCAGAATTTCAACATTCCTTGGTCATTGTTTTTTCTAGTCACTTAAGTAGAAGGATGTTATATCCTGCACTTTCTTTATCAAGTTACTGAAAAAGCGAGGAAATGGAGTGATTTGGGAGAAACAAAGACAGGTATCAGCCTCTCATGACAGGAACGATGTGAGGAAATAGAAACTTCAAGAATTTCAGGTATACATATTATACTGTGTTAAGTATAAAACAAGAATCTTGAAAGCCTGCTGTAGTTTCCCTCTGCCTCCTCTTACACCAAAGAGAATCAAGATGGGGTTATTTTAAGTTTCTTTCTCAATATTTCTCCTTTCAAGGACTAAACTTGCTATTTTTTTCTTCCTTAGTGCTTTTGCATTCCTTCAAAGTTATTTCACCTTCTTCTATATGGGGAAACATAAATGGTTGAGGAGAATAAATAAGAAATTCTCTCTTACCTGCCCAAAATTCCATGGCCTTCCACGAATATTTGCTACTGATCCTACATAAATGTAGCCAGTATCATTGAGGATGTACTCAGCTCTTTCATCATCATCCGGCATAAAAACATAATCCGCTAAAACAGACAAAAAAGCACATTACATTTAGGTGACTAAGATCTGATGCAATGAAATATCCAACAGGGACATCGACAATGGGATGGGGAAGGAGGTTGATTTATTTTATATATAATTTATTTATAGGTAATACCCTGAATCTTTTTGGCTGGCAAACCGCATACTTGGGTTGGATACCAAAACTATTGTCTGTTGGTCTCCAAAATAAGCTGGTGAATATTCACATAAGCAGACTGGTAAATTTCAGTTCAGAGCCTTTCTTATTAATACATTTTAGGTTTTCTTATTCCAGCTACAGTTACCCAGGAATTATTTCTCATTACAGAAGATTCAGTATTCAATCACTTGAATATTACTTTTTCTTGACCAAATCTTTATTTGTTTAATGGGTAAAACTCCTGCCTCTCAGGAGTTCATTGTATTCATATCTTATAAGAACATAAAAACAGCTGAATCAGACTAAGGCCCCTCTGTTTCCCACGATGGCCTCCCAGCTCCTGCTTGAGCAGCAGGTAGAATTGAAACAGGAGGCCCTGGTTTTTGATTGCAGCTATCATCCTTTAGAACGGCCTCCTGGTTAAAATGAAATTGACTCACTCCTTACCTGGCTTTTGCAAAATGTTTTTTAGAGGAGCTCTTTCATAGAGAGATAAGACTCTAAATTGCTATTTTACTATTGTTTATATACTGTTGTTTTTTTTTTACTGTGGATGCTTTAATTGTATACTATGTCTATATCTGTGAATGACTGGGAATCCTCAACTGAATTACAGCTGGATATAATAAATTACATACATACATACATGCATGCATACATACATACATACATACATACCAGTGATAGCTTTTAAGCCACTCTAGATTGTATTAATTACCTTGACACCAAGGATTAAACAAAACATAGATAAAATTCGGAGTAGGACTATAAATATTAGATCTTGTATCCACTTTCAGAAGATATTTTCCAATAATTGCATCAGCTGGGCTGGTTATAGCTATCACACACTAAGAGAAGAACAAGATGTTTATAACATTACAACATTGTACATGGTAAATATCTAAATGCTGCAGGAAGATGTACGTTGAGAAAAGTGTGCTAGTGTGTACATAGCTGTGTATGAATAGAAATGGATGTTGATTAGAGTATGGGTGAGCCATATTTTTCTCTTGCTCCACCTTTGGTATGTGTCTTCTTATAATGGTATGTGGGATTGACCACGAGAGACAGGATAAAGACCCACAGCCTAGGTCAGGGGGAGGCAACCTTGGCTTTTTTATGACTCGTGGACTTCACGAGTCATAAAAGAGCCAAGGTTGCCTACCCCTGGCCTAGGTAATAATTTCCTAAGAGGCACTTTGTTCGCAAGTGCAGGAAAAGCATAGGAAGAATTTGGGAAGACTAAGAAGAGCATGCTTTTCCACCTCATCCTTTTTCCCAAGTTCATTCCCACATACCATTACTATTCCACAAGACAATTAATATAGACCTTAGTGATACAATACAATCTAACTTCCTTGGGGAATTGTGGCCTAATAGAGCTAGAAGAAGTTAAGAAACACAGCTTTAAGCTGACATTTCAATGAAGAACATCCCAAAACTTTATACCTCCTTCCCATTTGTTTGGCAAATGTTAGCATGCCATGGTTGAGCATCTTGTTGTGCCCTTGCATTCAGGGTTATGAAAGTCCCATTGGATGGCATTGGTGTTTCACCTAGAAAAAAATAAATTTGTTTAGAATAACATTAATACATCTGAATGGTAGGGCACCAACTTTTGTGTTCTGTCTCCAGCTTTGACAGATTCTAAATAAATAAAATAAAATAAAAATAAATAAAATTGCACCAAGGGTGCCATCAGAGCAGCACTAGAGAACAGATATATTTAAGATCTTAGCCAAGAAAATGAATTGGGAGATTTCTAAAAATGGCAAGCCTGGCTTAACACATTTCGAAGTAAATCAATGCACATCACCAATTAAACAGAGCATTGGGATAAAACATCTAAGGGAGAATAATAAAAACTCCATACATCCATTGAACAGCCTACTAGAGATAGTCCTTGACTTACAACAGTTCATTTAGTGATCGTTCAAAATTATAATTGCATTGAAAAAAGTGACTTGTTGACCATTCTTCACAATTATGACTGTCGCAGCATTGCTGTGGTCACATGTTCAAAATTTAAATGCTTGGCAACTGATTCATATTTATGACCGCTGTAGTGTCCCAGGATCATGTGATCACCTTTTGCAACCTTCTTACTAGCAAGTCAATGGGGAAACCAGATTCACTTAACAGTCATATTACTAACTTAATAACTTCAATGATTTACTTAACAATTGCAGCAAGAAAAGCCATAAAATGGGGCAAAATTCACTTAACAAATGTTTCACTTGTCAACAGAAATTTTTGTTTCAACTGTAGTCGTAAGTTGAGGACTACCTGTAATTGCCACATAACATGAGTGGTTATATTTAGTTTTTATTGCAGGCAGATGAGAAACTGTGCTAGATTGTCTTTGTTAGTTCCAATAGGCTGTAGAAGAACATCTGCAGGGTGATGTAGTCTTGTGCAAATTTCCTTTAATAAAATAACACCTTTAGAGCTTTTATGAGCTATGGTATATATTTATTTATTTTATTTATTCAATTTCTATAGCCACCCAATTCAATGAAAGAGAAAAGCAACATTATGCTGAAAGAATAGAATGGGTTGAGAAACCCAAGGAACTCAGCTACTGACTGGATAGGAAAACAATTTGGGAGGCTCATGGATTAGCTATGGTAAAAGAAGATGGGATAGTAATATAAAATGCAAGGCACAGCCTCACTTCTTCCTTAATTCCTCTTTCCCATCCTTTCTCTTATCATAGGAACAGGGAAGTCACCCATGCCCCTGATAAATTGCTGAGTTGCATGTCTCAGAAATCCTCTCTAATTCTACCTCATGAAGAAGGATCTAGGAGCTGGGGTTCAGCAATCACTTCGGACCTGTTAGCCTGCTCCTTTTTGTTTGTTTGGTGACTTCTAGCATTCAGGCCACAGAAGCTGCTTGGGTTGTAGGGTGGGACTGCCTTTGTGGATAAGAGCAACTGGTTAGAAAAGCAAGGACAGCATTGCTACATGTAAGATGGGAGAATCAGAAAAGATGGTGTCCTGAGCTAGACACAATTGAGTTAGTTTTGGTGTGTGGACAGGTGTGTCCAAATGGAATTCTATATCAACTTTGTGGAACATTTTCCACAAGGTCAATACTCTCTTGAACAATAAAACAAAGAAAGTCATTTGACTTCTAGCTAAACTTTGATTAGTCCAATAACCAAAGCAGAAATTATTTAAAGGCACTGCCCCCTTCAGTTTGATGGAGGGTGGAGTCCCATAGCAAGCAGTTGGTGTCCTGCCAACATCTAATTTCCCTTAGACTCATCCTCCAAGTGACATACTTTTCATAAAAAGAGCTGGTTGCATTTTTCAAAAGAAAACATTAGTTTCATGCTGGATTCTGGCTGCAGCTTATTTAGTAGCAGTCAGTTCCAAGATGAAAACTCAGTTGTGAATGCACATCCTTAAAAAATTGTAAGTAGACATCTTGATACCATGGCAAGGAATGCTTGGGTGTATGGATTAAATCAGGGCTTTTCAACCTTTTCACCCATTGTACCGCTTTTAGGATATGGCAATATCCGAGTACCACCAGTCGCCTAGCAAGGTGTCAAAAATTTGATGACCCATTTAAAAAAAGGAAAAAAAGTGATGAAGTACAGGTAGTCCTCGACTTACAACAGTTCACTTAGTAACTGTTCGAAGTTACAATGGCACTGAAAAAAGTGCCCCCCAAGTCACAGCCAAGCAAGACACCTGCCTGCCCACCTGGCGGTGCTCTTCCTCCTGTCCGAGGTTTTCATTGTTGTGAGCATTTCTGTTGAGGATTGGCAGTGGGGATGGGGTGGGGGGGTGTTTGGTTTTTATTCCCCCCGTCCGCTGGGTGGTTGCAACAGGTTTTGGTCACTTCATATGACCCTGGGACACTGTGACCATCATAACTATGAATCAGTTGCCAAGCATCTGAATGTAAATCACAAGACCCTGTAGATGCTGCAATATTCCAGCTGATTGGTGCTTCTTCTAGGCTCAGCAGAAGTGCCAGGATCAGCGCTGAACTCCAGATGGAGCCTGGCGCTGATCTTGGTGCTTCCACTGAGCCCTGACAGGTCCAAAGAAGCGCTGATCCTGGCGCTTCCGCTGAGCCCTGACAGCCCTGCAGCTCCAGCCATCTCTTGCTCAGGCTTGTGCGGTGCTGCCACCGGTTCAGTTCATTCCCCTCCCCCACTACCACTTTTCTAGGATGGTCACATACCACCTGCCAGGTGCCAATGTACCACAGGTACCACAGGTGGTTGAAAAGCCTTGGATTAAATCATTTAGCTACTCTGAAAAGTTAATGTTCCATTATCCATTTCATTTTATTAATTATTATATTTTACATCACTACATCAGATTCTTGACATCTTTTGGTGAGAGTAGCTGCCAATGCTTACCAATGCTCAGCTGTAGAGTGACTTTGTCATTGTCTTGCAGCTCCCTGCTAAATGTCACTTTTAGCTGAAATTCCTGCCCACGTCTCACAATTAAGCTACTATGGGAAAAATCTTTGGTATGATGAAGATGGGTGTTGTCATCCTTGAGAAAATCAACTCCAACAGCTTTCAGAGGATCTCCTGCAAATAACAAAGAATGCTTAAGGGTTTTTTTCCAACTGATTTTATTGCCTTTTCTCTCCTTGCAGCAAAACATAGCACAAACATGCCCTGACAAATAAATTTTCTGCTATTTGCTTCCATTTGCACCCAGCCCTTAAATGAGATAGGCAATAATAATCGTTAGATAAACTGTAATATATTAGAAATTAAGTAATATTTTCCTACTTATTCCATGCTTTGGTTCACATTTTATTCATGTTAACTGAATGAGAATATGATTTTTCCCTATGTGTTTAATATTTTTTGTCATACTGCAATTACACAACAAACACATGCAAAATTTAAGCTAACTACTTGTTGGAATATTCATGAACAGGAAGAGTCATGTGGTAACTCAGTCAGCCGATGTGAAGAAAGTGCTACTGAGTCTGTGCAAAAGGGTATTGAGTTAGGAGCTGGATTTCCAGTCTCAGGTCTGTCTCTGTATCTCTCTGTAAGAAGTCTTCGGTTGAGTTATGTTGCTGTGAATGTATGGTATTGTAAATATTTTGATATAAATATAAAGAAGTTATTTTGAATCAGCTAAATGCAGTCAACTGTGAGAGCTTCTGATTTATTTTTTCACCAATAGAGAAATTAAAATTCTCTAAGAGGTTATGGGCCTAGAGCTTACTAAGGACTGCATTGTACTTTAAAGCTGAAAGAAATTGCCTGTGTTTAAAAAGTATAAGAACAAGGCAGAATTAGCAGAATGGCTGCAATGGAATTTAAGGAAAACTGTGTGCCTCGTTTGGGCTAGAAGAATTATATTGTGTGGGCTGCTAAAATGGAATGTTTGCTCAAAGCAAAAGAGCTGTGGTATATTGTAGAAAATCCACCACAAGTATTTGCAGCTGCTGATCAGAAGAGTCATGATCAAGCAATGGCTTATCTCATCTTGAATTTAGATGATGAACAATTTCTAAATGTTGCAAATTTAAAGACTGCAAAGGAGATTTGGTTGAAGTTGAGAGCTGTGCACGTGAATGTTTCTGCATGCAATATAGTGCAATTGTCAAGAAAACTTTACAGGGCCTGTTTGCAACCAGATGAATCTATGGAACAGCATTTAAATAAAACGCAAAGTTTATTTTTGGACTTAGAACAACGTGGGATTAAATTCCCTGAGTTTAAAACCTTCCCAGAAGGTATTATTGGTGTTGAACAGTTTAGATAAAACCTGGGACACAGTTTCTGCCATACTTGAGTGTAAAGAAGAGCAAGACTTAAATTTTGAAGCTTTAAAGGCATGTTTGCTTAATGAACAAGAAAAGCGCCATTTTAGAAGCAGCCACGAGGAGAAATTCCTGAGGAAGGGGTCCAGACTGCAAGTCTCCAGAGGAGAAGAAATAAGCAGATTGGACCCGGACCAAGTTGCAACAAAAGAGAGATTTTGCAAACAGAGAGCTCAGTGAGAAAAAAATTGCTACATTTGTGGAGCAAACAACCATCTGAAAAGGAACTGTTTGCAAAGGAACAATTTGCAGCAAAGGACATTTGTGCAACCAAAAAGGACTGATTTGCAAAAGGAACATTTTAGTATTGCAAAAGTTTGCTACAGCAACAACAGAGACAAGTGGCTAATAGATAGTGGGGCAAGTCAAACAATTGTTAATAACTCTGAATTATTTTGCAGGTTTGTTCCAGTAGCACAAGAAGCTGTGGCTTTGGCAAATGGCCAGAAAGCAAAAGTTATTGGAACAGGCGATGTAAAAATTCCATATTTGGAATCAAAGTTTACCAATGTGCTTTGTGTACCTGAGATGGAACATAATTTGTTAAGTGTGTCTAATTTAGACAAACAAGGTTTTGAGATTATTTTTGTAAATGGGAAGTGTCTCATCAAAAGGAATGGGAATATTTGTGCAGAAGGCATAAAGGAAGATAATCTATATATATTGCAGGGACAAAAGGCTCAATGTTCCCATATATTTAAGAATGTTGCAGAGCATGATTCATGTGTTCATCTTCTGTATAGAAGACTTGGCCATGCAAGCTTTAAAGTTTTGCAGCAAATGCAAGATTTTGCAGAAGGGCTAAATTTGAAAGGATGCAAAACATATTTGGACTGTGCAGTATGCAAAGCATCGAAGTCAAAGGCATTCCCAGTTAGTAAATGTAGCACAAGACAAACAAAAAGAGTTCTAGAACTGGTCCATGCAGATCTGGTGGGACCTATGCAAACCAGTTTGGGAGGAGCAAAATATGCACTGGTAATTGTTGATGATTATAGCAGGAATAGTTTTTGCTACTTGCTTAGAGCAAAGACAGAGGTGCTACAACAATTCAAACAGTGGGTAAGTTTTGTAGAGAGAAGGTATAGACAACAAGTGTGTCAGTTGCAAACTGACAGAGGTACTGAATTTATGTCAACTAAATTCCAACAATGGTTGGGGCAGTTGGGGATAAGACACAGATGTACAAATCCTTACACAGCAGCAGAGAACGGTGTAGCTGAAAGAAAGAATGGTGTTTTGCAAACAATGAAAAATTCATTATTAGAGGATTCTGGTATGAGCAGGTCATATTGGGGAGAAGCCATATTGACTGCCAATTATATAGTTAACAGGCTGTGGAGTTCCTCCATTAATAATACTCCATATGTCATTCTATATGGGAGAAAGCCATCACTGGCACATTTGAGAATTTTTGGAAGTACTGCATGGGTATATATTCCAAAGGCAATCAGAAGAAAGGGACAGCAAAAGGCAAGAAAGCTCAGGTTTGTGGGCTATGAGCCAGGGTCAAAAGGATATCGCTTTAGCGATGGAAGTAAGAGAATTATAATTTCAAGGTCTGCTAATTTTGTAGAACAAAATTGGGACAGAATTAATGCAAATTCTGGGTATGTCTGACAGTGATCTATTTAATGACAATAACTCATCTAATGATAAAAAAATGATTATTGAAGATGTCAATGTTCAGGGAGGAGAGGCTGAACAAGACATGAAACCAGAAAGACTCGAGACACAGGAGCAGTTAATACCACGTAGATCAGAGCGATGTAATAAAGGAATTCCGCCTGACAGGTATTCTGCCAGCAAGGTAAAGGTTTGCAATGTGTGATATGAGCCAAGAAGTTATAAAGAGGTGTTGGCATTACCAAAAGCTGAACAAGAAAGATGGAAGGAGGCCATGGATAAAGAGATGAAATCCATGGGAGACCATGAAGTATTTAAATCAGTGACTTTACCACAGGGAACCAAAGCTATGGGTTGTAAGTGGGTATATAAGAAAAAGGTATTGCCAAATGATGATGTACATTTGTTGCAAGATTTAAATATTAATGTAAAAGAATCTGTAAAGGTATTTGAAGACAATGCTGCCTGTATAAAAATGGCAACTGGTGACAGGGTGAAGAACAGAAGTAAACATGTAGACATTAAGTATTGTAATGTCAGGGAAGCTGTAAAAGGAAAATTGATTAGTTTACATCATTGTTCTTCTGAGGATAATTTGGCAGACATGATGACTAAACCATTGGGTAGTGTTCACTATGGAGAATATGTTAAGTCAATAAGTCTGATGTCTCTTCCTGTCATGAAGGGAGGAGTGTTGGAATATTCATGAGCAGGAAGAGTCATTGGTAATTCAGTCAGCCAATGTGAAGAAAGTGCTACTGAGTCTGTGCAAAAGGGTATTGAGTTAGGAGCTGGATTTCCAGTCTCAGGTCTGTCTCTGTATCTCTCTGTAAGAAGTCTTCGATTGAGCTATGTTGCTGTAAAGAAGAATGTATGGTATTGTAAATATTTTGATATAAATATAAAGAAGTTATTTTGAATCAGCTAAATGCAGTCAACTGTGAGAGTTTCTGATTTATTTTTTCACCAATAGAGAAATTAAAATTCTCTAACACTACTTTATTATGTTCTACCTGTAATAGAGGAATCCGCTTAGTCTGAAAGCTATCCCTTGGAAACAATTAGGTAAAGGTCCAAGGAATTCAGGGAGGAAGCTTTTATGGTTGCACAGTGATTCTAGACTAGCTCCATGCTTTATCCTACTTCCTGCTAGACTGGGTACTTCCCAAATATTACTTATATTGATAATATATTATTCCAACAGGGCTTAGGAACCATAGCCGAAGTTTGGGTGGCCCTTAGTACTGTGCCCCTATTTAGGGATTTGCAGCTGGCATTTTTCTTTCCCAGTTGTTGTTTTTTTTACAAATTGTAGCACTTTCCCATAATACCTTTAAAAAAGATGCCCAATGTGGCCTCTATGTGCATGAAGAATATATGAAATAATCTGAAATCTGACAATATGGGGCATGTGTTGTGGATGAAAGTTCCCATTCTCAGCTGGTTAAATAGAGTTGAAAAAAATCCCTCTTCTCTAAAAGGCAGGATTTATAGCAGAGATTTTTCTGGATCTAACCTCATCACTAGAAACCCATGTTACCTCAGGATAATAATCTGACAATGGCAACTTCTTGAGGAACCCTCTCATCCCATTGCAATTGGCCTGTACCCTCGTGCTGGCAGAGGAAGTGTGCTGTGGGTTCAGTCAGCCTGATTGTTCTGGCTGGTGAGGTCCAGGAGGAGGGCCTTCTCTGCTGTTGCTCCTCTGGAACATCTTTTTGTTGTTGTTGTTATCATATTTTATTGATTTTCTCATTTTACAATTGGGTATTTAAAAAGCAACGTGATGACTGGGTTTATCAATAGTTCAACAGCATACATAAATCTCATATTAAAACATTAAATATTTCCTCTCTTTTTCCATTAATATCTGCTATCTCATATTGGGCTAGTACAATTCTTATTATTATCAACTAAATAGAAACATCTTTGCTATCTTTATCAATAATTTTTAGCCTATACATATCTTAATTGTGTTTGCATTTAATATCCTTATATAAACAATGTCCTATTATTGTTTTTTTCTCCCAAACTTTAATTTCCCATTAATATTCAAGAAAACACTATTATTTATGATTTCCAAGTACTTCATGTTTAAGTGACCAAAAGTTTCCCTTA